TTTTTTAAATATATCTTTATTGATTTCAGAGAGGGAGAGAGAGAGATAGAAACATCAATGATGAGAGAGTCATTGATCGAGCCCGCAACCCGGGCATGTGCCCTGACCGGGAATCGAACCCCGATCACTTGGATCCCAGGTCGATGCTCAACCGCTGAGCCACAACCGGCCAGGCTGATTTTTTTTTAACGTGTGGAGTTTGAAGAACCCTACAAGAAGTAGTGCGATGACCTGAAGCTAACAATAGCTGGAAGCCCGTTAGGGAACAGGATTGAGAGAAATTTCCAGAAACAGGAAAGAGAACTCTGTGGAAGAGGGCTATCTGCAAGGAGCTTTCCGTAGAAGTATACAACTGACCCACATGGAAATCAGGCAGGAGGGTTCCGGAGGAATAAACACTGACAGTATTTTCATTCTCCAAACTCCTGCTAACTTTCCCACTTGTCCAATGTGATCAAAAGCCAGAGAGCAAACACATATATGGGGTAACTCATATATATCAGCCTCTCCAGGCGCAAAGTGGAGTGGGAAAGAATAGCAGATGCATCTGGAGGGCCAGATTGGGACAATCCATCATTTTTGTGTTCAGCATCCATTCTTATCTTTGTTCTGGGTGAAAAATGTTATGTCCCCAACACAGGAAATACTTGGAATCTCATTGTATCATGATAGGGTGATGTCAGCATGGCCATATCCCCACTGGAAAACTAAAATATTAGCCCCACAAGCATTCTTCATATAAGGGATGTAGAGGAGGGAGGAGAAAAACAGGACAAATAATTTATTAACAGAAACTATATCTGCTGTAGTTCCTATTTTTATAGCTGTTCACAGAATTTAAATGAATAATCACAAATTTCTTCTTTTGTCTTCCATTCCATTTTCCTTTACCCTCTGCATGCACCTCCATCGGATGGAATCCTTCACCTGGTAAAGTGAATTAAACCCTCATTCCTATGGAAATGGAGTCCTTGATGATCTTGTCTCTTTGGGCTTCATGCATTTGTCTGTTAGTGAGACTACCAAGCAAATTGACGAGACAATCCAGTGAATCCCCCTCCCTCGGGTCTAGTCAGTCTATCTAGCCTCCAGGTGTAGCAGTAATGGGATTTCCTCTTGGAAATCCTGTCATTAGTCATCTCAGCCTTCTCAGTCAGTTCATCAAAAATAGACACTCCTTGAAAGGAGATTACAAAGATAAAGTTACTGTAACTCTGGTTGCCTCTGAGACAAGAGGACCACAGTGTTCAGCCCCTAGCATCCCTGCATTCTTCTCTTCTGATAGAAGTGTCTTCACTCAGATCTTAAAATCTTAACTTCTTTTCACAACAAGATCACCTGTCTATCTTTAATTCCCACATGAAGCACTGCATGCTAGGGAATGATAAAGTGTAAATAAAGGACCAGAAGAAAAACTAAATGATTACTTTTCTTGCTAGTGCATATGGTCTATACATAGCTCTTATTTCCCAGGCAGCACAAGCTGAGTGTCACAGTAAGTCACACATCAGGTTTCTCTGACTCAGTTCCCATCTACTCCAGTGCAGTCATCCCCCCTCCCTGGACTGTTGCTCTGGCCTTACTTCTGTTCTAACTTCCCACCCCACCCTACCCCACCCCCTCGAAACACATATACATGCAGACACACACAGTGAACCTACTCTCTATTCAGCAGCCATAATGATCTTTATAGAGCATGAGTCATCCCAAGTCTTTCTTATGCTCAAAGCTCTGCAGTGTCTTCTAGTCAGTCCTAGATTATGGTTAGTATCTCAGGGTGCTATGTCTCACACAGCCCACAGGTTAATCTTCTTTAATACCTGGATATTGCCATCTGCTACTGGGAGAGGAGACACCCAAGGCCTCTGCCAATGGCAAGAACATGAGCAGTGCTGAAGTGCCAGCCAAATGCTAGCCATTGTCACTGATGGGGAAAAAAAAATGCTACAACAGGTGTCAATGATTATGTCAAGACTCCCTATGAGGAATTTGGAGAATTCCGACTATCTCATATAGCTGCCAAACTTGTCAGTACTGCCTTCCAGAATTGAAGAAGATCCTGGCACCTTATCCCTTACAGTCATTGGCATTCAGACTGTTTAAATCTGTATTTCAAACTCCTTGCTTGAGAATGGAAGTATTCATAAATCCAATTTAAGGAGTATTCTTCCACTTAAGGCTTCATTTGTAGAAGATTGGTCAGAAATGAGTACAGTATCAAATTTTGCTCAAGGCATTGCACTGAAACTCACTTGGAAGAAGAGAGAAAAGGGTCCTAAACCCAACTTATCCCAGAAGTCATTTTAATTCTATCATCCCTGGAGTTTAGCTCTAGTACCTCTCAGTATTCAAAGCTCACACCCAAAAGTACTAGTTCCACTTTATCCACAAGTGAAACTACAATTTCTATACATGCTCACCAATTACCACCAGGTTTGACCTAATCCCACAGGAACTTGGCAAACAATTGGTGAGTAACTTGAAGGATAAACTCAAGGTTCCCAATTTTTTGGAAAAGGAAACACTTTAGACAGCTGACTACTGACTTTCATCTTCTGTGGAAAGACCTATAGATTTTTCAATGCTAGTATCATTAGTTCATTCTAGATAGAACAAATCCAACTTTTATCTCTACCTCTTTGCTCTCTTCTCTTTACCACAGTACAAAGTTTGAAGATATTCAGTTTTCATTCTCTCTTCAGTGTGCTTCCTAACATCTTACTCATTTCCACACATAAGACTTCTCTGTAAGTGCTAAACTTCACTAGCAGATAGACTCCCCAAGCTCAGTAGACTTCCCCTTTACTTCGTTTCCCAATTTACAGGAAAACTAGAGAGTGCCCCCCTCATAGGTCTGAGCTAGAACTAATGCAGTTCACCTGCAGCAACAGAGGCTCCATCTATTTCTTCCCCAGTAGCATTGCTCCTTTCTTTTATCCACAAATTGCTAACAATACAGATGGAGTCTCTTTAATTTTTTACTTTTTTTCCTTTCAGAATTACATGCTGAATCAACATAATAAATCTATATAGGCAACAGAGCAGAGAAACATCAAGCTCAATAAGGTTCAGCTACTAATAGTTACACAATGTTTTTAACATGGCTCTGATTCAATTTTCTCATTTGTAAAATGGGAATAATACTAATACCCACCTCACTTGCGTAGAGTCGAGAATATGAGGTTCTTTTATATGAGGTTCTTGGCCCATTTAGCAAATGGGAATGATGATGATGATAACGATAATATTAAAGGGAAAAATCACAAAGCCACAAGACTTAAGATATCAAAGTATTTATTAAGTTCAAATAAACATATAATAGAGCCATAATTATTGTCATAAATATTAATATTAGCTTTATACTTAAGTAGCAATATCATGATTCTATAAATAAATCCATATTAGTAAAATGACATAAATAAAATGTATATTTATAACAATAAATAAATTCATAAATATAAACTATTAATTATTAAAAGAAAGCTATTTAGGTTTTTTTCCCCTAAAGGAATGGGAAGTAATATTTTTGTAAAAATAGACTGGCTTAAAAATAAATTTCTGTGTCTAAAACGCCAACTACAATAAAACATTAGCAATAAATCTCATGATTGTTCTCTTTTTAAGCTAAGTAGGGGTTTATATGTTTATAAACCCATGACTATGGAGTTTGACTTCCCATTTTCCTTTTGGTAAAAGAAAACCTCTGAGGGTCTTGTTATTTCCTACAGGAAGGGTTATTATCCATTTTCCAGGTTTGCTGTGATTAAATGCAGGCATTTCTCAGGGTCATAAACAGCAAATCCAGTTCTCCAATTGCTTTGATCTCTCCACTTTCTCCAAGCTGTAAACATAAGAAAACACAAGTATTTGAGTGTTTATACCATATTTTTAAGAGAGGGACAAATTAGAAGAAGATAGCTTGGTTAGGTTGCTGGAACAGAAACCAAGTTTTAGCCTTTTGTAAAAGATTAATAGTAATACCTTTTAACAAGAATATTATATGATTCACCAAAGACCTTAAAATCATGGCTATCTGAACTAAGAGGGCACCAAGAGGCATCCATCTCTGGTGTACCTCACTCTAATGAAGTTGTTTAAAATCACTTCCTAACCAGAGCAAACAGATGGAAGCCATGCAGGGGGAACCTAGAGTGAGGCCCATTATGCCTTGTCCTACCCCATAGCCCTACAATCGTCTATGACAAATATATTATTTACAACAATCGCCTTGAATCAAAACCACACATTTACCAATACACGTGGGCTTTTTCTGTTCTCACCTTTCTGACAAAGGAAAAAATACAGGTTTCCATTTTTGTGAAAATACTGAATTAGTCCCATTCAGTTGCTTGAATTAGTAGAAAGCCAAATACAGTTTCTAACATTCCTTCTCTCTTCCTTCCAAGTAGTATGTAAGTGAGGCTTTCAAACCCAGTGGAAAAGAGAACCCAAATTCAAGTCCAAAGCATCTTCCTCTGAAATTCATCTACTCTATTAAATTCGCTCTAGATTATTTGAAGGAAAGCCATCATTGTCCTCTATGCTTTGCTCTCCTTTCTCGCCCTGCTTTCTTCCACCATTCCACCTTTCCACTCTTCCTTTTCATTAAGGCCAAAGGATCTTCATGAAAAAATTTTTAAAGCCTATCTTGTCCTACTGTCTGTCATCCATTCTACTACAGCCTGCTATCTGCTTTTCCCTCCAGTGACAGGAAATTAATACATCCCAAGACTTCCTTCTCATTTCAGACAGCACTGACCAGTTTTTCCTCATTTGAGCTTCCTCTGAACAACATCGCTCTCTTCTGCCTCTGCCGTCTGGAGTGACAAGGTAAAAAAGGCATAGCCACTCTTCCACATGACAACCTATTGCACATGTGAAAGTTGATCCTCTCAAAAAGGAGTAAAAGCTCTAAAATCTGTTTTCCCACACAGATCACCATCAGATGTTTCTCTCTCACACTTCACTCTTCTAAAGGCCACAAAGTAAACTGACTTCAGAGATTTTTCAAACCAGAATGGCAAACACTTCTTCTTGGGTAGGGCATGCCCATGTCCAGCCCTCCACACCTAGGGAATAGTTCTATGACAAGAGAATTGAGCTTCACAGTGAAAACTGCAAAGGAAAAAACCATTCTGTTCGTTAAATCATGCTCAGGAAGAAACCTTTTGTGGAAAAAACATCAAGGTGGGGAAAAGGGGAAATTGTGACTATGCTTGTTGCTGAAAATTTCATCAACTAGAGCCTTCGTGTTTCTGAGGTTTAATTGTACCTGCTTGCAAGAGCATCACTTTCGCTGCTACTAATCATTCCTCTGGTTTTGGGATGAGTCACAATTGCTAGTCTGAGCCTTCTACTGTTATTCTTTTCCCCAAATAGGCCACATAATAGTATCATTCACTGTAGAAATATATACTAGCCTACACCAGATAGATGCTCACTGTCTACCTAAGGATTTATTGCAGTGGAAAGGAGACTAGAAAGGAAGGGAAGACGACAGAGGAAGAAAAGATTTCCAATTCGAACTTCCATATTACTATAAAAAATCTACTACTAATATTTTCATTCTATTTGAAACTGTGTAAAGAAAATTGAGGGTTGTTCACTCATGCTTTTAAATTCAAATCAATAGCTGTTGGGTATTATATTATGGTAATTAAATATAAGTATCAGTCATTTCAGAAATTCAGCCTCTATTCGAGTCAAGTTCTTTTGTTATGATTGTTCTGGGTTTATTTCTCCAAGTTTTAAATCATCAAATTAATGGCTTAAAAAAAAATCACTTCAAATAAATTTACCCCCAGGCCCTTTTCTGTTCTTGAACAAGTGCTTTTTCAGATTACATGGACTAGCAGGAATTTTAAATTTCCCTAAGAATTTACAATACTAAAACTAATTTATATGAATTGCTGCTGGAAGATTGCTAGCCTGGTTGGGATGTAGGAGAACTGTATTCTAGCCCTGGCTCTGCCACTGGCCACCCCCAAGAAATAGGGTGATGAGATTAGAAAATCTAATTTCCCATACAGTTCTAGGATTCTATGATTTGCAAAATTTAGCAAGTGATTTATAAATATATAGACAGATCTATGTACATATACACCTAAATTATCAAACTAATAGTAGAAGAATCAAGTAAAAAATCATAATTTGCAGGGTAAAAGAAAGAAAGGAAAGAAAATAAAAAACATTTGTCTCTCCTATTTAACAATTCAACATTAAATAGTTATTAGTAGTACCTCTTTCACTGTGTCCTTCAGCTTTTGCACATTCCTGTGGATATGCTGGTTATCACTCTCAATATGCTACAAAATGAAAAGCAGAGTAATTATTTTAACATTGTCATACTGACATCTTATGAACCTCAGTGTCCCTGACTGAGGTGTTACAATTCACCTGGAATTAAAGCTCTTAGCATTTGTGCCCACAATGACCTAGATTTCGCCAGTGACCTAAATTTTCTGAGCTCTTGAATTCTCTTGGACATCAAAATCCAGTCATTTCCCTTATATAGGACCTCTCCTCACTTTTGGGAAATCCTACTGAGGTTTAAGTTTGTGGAAAGAGTAGAGTGGTTTATGCAAATTCTGTCAAGATTACAACCTTAACTGGACCTCATAAAAAAATGCATGCTCAGGACAAGCCATACCTAAAACATGTTGTGTGAACAGTGGGCCCTCTTCAATAAGTACTAGGTGCCCTTTGCTCTGCCTACTTTATTCAAAAGTTTTCCATAGTTTTAAATGTTCAAAGGCATCAAATTTACACACCTTTGATTTTGTCACTTCCCAAGACATCAAGAGGGTGGGAGTCTTTGTCCACCTACCTTGGAACATTAAACCTTCCCATTTCCCTCTTTCCCATCCCTTCCCTTGTTCAATCTATACTCAGTGGATCCATTCCCACATCTAGGTGTTTTTTCTTACAGCTCCCAATACCATTCTTGTCTCACATAACCTGGGTTGCTTTTCCCAGGGACAAATGAGCTTTCCACGCACTTGTCTTTCAGACCCCATTCATCACCATAAACTCAAAATGTTACTCAATTAAAGCAAAAACAAATACTCTGTGATTCCAAGTGACTCCTATAATGATGTTGCTGAGATACTTCTTACTGCCAACATGGGATGGGGCAATGAGGATTGGGGGGAAAGGGCTCTAAATGGAAGAAGGAGGGAAAGCAGGTAACTAGGACTGGGTGGACTTAGGCTGAGAGGACTTACGCATTGGCTAAGCTTGTTGCTGAGCCTGGCCAGGAAGGGCACCACCTCTTGCATGTAGGGCTGGAACCTATCAGACTGGGGGAGGAGCACTTCTTCAACTGTAAAGTTCAGCACCTGCTTCATCAGATAGCAGCGCTCACTCATCTGCAGGCAAAAGTGAAACATCAGGGGTCATATTAGGGCACATCCAGAAGACCCAAACCATTATTACCACCACTCCAAGTAACCATGGATGGCACCTTGCCCTGCCTATCACTCCTATGGCTTACCTTGACTCCACGGAACAATTTCTCTCCAATGAGACGAACGTCTGTGTTGTTATCTACCAAACTAGCCTGGAAGAGAAGAAAAGACTAAGTGGTTGGACATTGAGGAGATAAAAGAAAAGTCTGTAAGTAAAGGCGCACTTTATTCCCTCTCCCAAGAGCAGCCCTATGAAGATTAAGGAAAGAATTCAGATGTGTGCATGAGTTTAAAACAATGCACCGAAAGGTACAGGGAAAATGAATAGCCAGATGGGCTACTACTTGGTTCCTTTTGGAGTAAAACTCAATGTACGTATTTTAAAGGCCAAAATGGAATGTGTTCTGATAAAGCCCAATTTACAAAGAGTCTATAAAGAGACAGAAAATGACTTCTGGTCTACCAGAAGAGATAAATGATGGGTTCTTAAAGATCTTAGATGTGCTATGCAGAAAAATTTAAGAACTATTTGAGTTCCAAGTAGGTAAGATACAAAAGAGAGAGATTGAGATGAGTACCTCCTTGGCCAGCATGAAGGTGCGGTTGGTGATATAGGGCTGCTGGAAGTTGGACTTGTCAAGCGTGCAGTGAGACCTGATGGGCACAGCTGCTCCTCCCTGCACCGACAGGGCAATGAGAAGAAGGCAGCTGGCAGCCAGAGTCCCCATAAGGGAAAAGCTCGCAGATTTCTGCAGGGTGGCCATTGCAGACAATTCTAACTCGATCGATTGGCAGCTGGAAAGAAGAACCTGGTATCAAGAAAACAAAAACATAAAGGGAAGAAAATTAAGTATCAAGAAGTGTTACAACAAGCAAACCTATCATACTAAGTTTGCTGAAACACTTACCTGTTTCAATGATTCTGCTTGTGATGGAAAGGTAGAAGCTGCTGCTTTTATAGCCCTTAGGAAACCAAATTTTTTTTATTGTGAAAAATATGACATCAGCAATTATCTAATTTCCAGTGTCGTCTTCTGAGAACTACCTAACCACCATAGAAGCCCACAAAATGCCACCTCCCATCCTTCCCACCTTGATATGCAAGGATTTCCCTAAAATGTCATTATTAGGTCCCCGATAGTGTTTTTACAGGTAAATCCTAGAATTTTCTAAACCTGACACATTTTTCAGAGAAAACAATTGCTTCGTCTTTATAGATTCTAGATTTAGTATAATATTTTTTGATCTTCTGTAGTAACTGAGTAAGCATTTTGGTCACGGACTCATTTTCCTTCCCAGCTTCATAGATTCTTATCTCATTAGAGTTTATCAGAAATAAGGGCCTGTGTCCTATATCCTCTGCTTTAAAACAAACAGTGATAACATCTTGGAGATAATTCAATTTTAAAAAATAATTTTCTTATTTTTTAATATGTTAAATCCTGAAAAAGACACATTTTAGAAATAAAAGTGTTGGCTGATTCTAAGTGCTGTTTTCCTCCCATTCTTTTTTTCAAGTGATCATAACCGTTATGGTAGATGCAAATATATCTTAAATTGTTTTCATTGAATTAAAACCAATATCAATTTAAGTTTGAAAATATTAATGTTGAACAATCTTATTGCTATTTTTCTTAATGTGCAAGTATTCTAAAAATACAGGGATATAGTAGTTCATCTTGAAATTTTACCTGCACTCATTCTGAACAACACACAAGTCTCAAAATAATATTTCCAAAAATCTTATAACAATTTTTAGTATATGTATGGACATCTGAAGATGAGATTGTGTGTGTGTGTGTGTGTGTGTGTGTGTGTGTGTGTGTGTGATCTTACCTTCATTATTCTCATTCCCTCCACACCACCCACCCACCACACCTCTGTGCCTGCCATAGGTTGCTGCTCTAATGTATTGGGTATACCCTTCTGAATATGCATGCATCCCTGTAAAACACGGAGTACTGTTTAGTGTATGTAGGTATTTTTATTTTACAGGAATGATCCTCTTTCTTAATTGTTCACTTAGCACTATGGTCTTACAATCTATCTGTGTTGCTATATGTAGCTCCTGTTTCTCACACGGCATTCTGTAGTGTGTAGCTCTACTTTACTTACTTGTTTCCAATTTGGTGGGCATTAAACCACCTCCCATTGCCTACTGTATAGGCATTGCAGCACTAAGAAACCTCATGTAAGTCATTTGATTGTTTTGGGGTTTTTTTTAAGAATATCTTTGAAATAGTTCCCCAGGGGTAGGTCCACTGGGTCATAGGAATAAGTTCATTTACTTTTACTAGATTTGGCCAGATTGCTAGCCAGAAAGGCAGCATGGATATGCTCTCTCATATCAGTAAAGAAAGGTTTCTATTTTTTACATCCCTACCCACACTTGGTATTATCAAGCTTTAATTTTGCCAGCTTTTGGAGGTATGAAATGGTATCTCATTGTTGTTTTAATTTACATTTTTCTTCATACACTTGCAGCCACTTGGGTTTCCCCCTTTTATGAAATGATTGTTCATATCAGTTGCCCATTGTTCTAGTGGGCTCTAGTGGTCTTTGATCAGTTGTCATTATTGTTGTTATTGTTGTTTTGTTGTTGATTTGTAAGAATGCCCAATATATTTTATAAATTACCCTCTTTTAGGTTGTAGGCATAACAAACTCTTCTCCCAATTTGTGTTCTGTTGGCTTTGTCTATTTGTCCTTTGTTGAACAGAGAACTTATTTTTCATTTTATGGTTTGCACTTTTCAAGGCTTTGCTTAAAAAGTGTCTCTATCCCTAGGTCACAAAGATGTTATTCTATCTTTTATTTACTTGACGGTTTTGCCTTTCACAATCAGGTCTTTAATTTTTTTTTTGTATATGATGGAAAGATGGGAGCCAGTTTTATTTTCTCCACATAGTGAGCCAGTTTTTCCAACACAGTTTACTAAACTGAGTAGTGTACTTTATCATATGTGAGTTTTCCATATACAAACAACTATCTCTGAGCTCTCTATTTTGTTGCATTGGTTTATTTATTTTTCTCTTACTATTCTTGAGCCAATCTTATAATATTTTTATTACTGAGGAGTGTCTTTATATCTGGGCAGAAAAGTCTACCCTTTTTGCTCTACTTTTTTTCAAGGCTGGCTTAGCTATTTTTGGACTTTCATAAATATTTTACATGAATTTGAATAAATTTGACAAGTTCCTAGAAAAATGCAGCAGAAACTTTAATTCAACTATTATTCAATTTAAAGATTTATTTGAGGAGAATTAACATCTTTATAATATGAACTCATTCCACCCAAGAGCATTTATTATCTCTCTACTACTTAAATCCTTTACGCACTTTCATAGTGTTTCAAAATTTTCTCCATCTTGCATATTATTTTTAATTCCTAGTTAGTAAGGTATTAAGCTGTTAGTAATCACTTTCTCCTTGGTGTGAATGAATGCCAAGTTGACTTGGAGAGAGAAACTATTGGGATACTCATCTCCTGAGAACATGAAAAGCATCTCCTTTTTTTCAAGGTCAGTGGAGAGGCGAGATAGAGGCACACAGCAAAAAACAAAGCTAGAGACTTGGGTCTCCAAACATGAACTTTATTTATTTCCCAGTGCTGCTTGAAGATAACCCTGACAGTGCCAAAGACAACTTTCCCCCATAGCCGCCTCAATCTGCTAACACCTTACCCACAAAGACACTTGTCAACCATAGCCACCTTTCTCTTTTTCCTGAGGACTAAAACTTGTGAATCTGTACTGTACCTCATCTTAAAGGAAGACTCTACCACAGGAACGTGTCAATGTAAATGATTATATTTCCCTCTCTGGTAATATCAAGTGGTACTGAAATCAATTTCAATTATAGAAGAAAGCAACATTTATGCAAATTCCTCACTACTCTGGTGCATTTAAACAGAATTTGACATTGGTTTCTTAATGTCTGCCCTCAACCGTCATAGATTTTTAAAAATCTATAGGCCATTCCAGTCTCTCATTTCATTTATTATTTTGACTAGTGAACAAGTATAAAAAATCATAATTCCCACTTGCACATACAGCAGGTATTAAAAGTCATAGTTAATTAACTAATATCAGTGAATCTTATATCCCAATTCTCTAATAAGTTTTAGGGTTGTTACTTTTTCCTCAAATCATTTGCACAGGCTAATTACTACTTTAAAAAATAACTTTTATAAAGTCATATTTCAAACTCTATGTATTTGGTGTGGTTCTTCTGTCTCTGATGGGAAAACCGTGGGCCAGTAAATGTCCAGTGAACTAGACATCCCTGATGTTCTCATGACCCTGTTGAACTTTTTAAAATACAAATGATCAAACACAGAACCAATTTGCAAACGTCAATCCTGAGGAAATGCCCCCTTTCCCTTTCCTTTGTCACTGTCCTAATTCAAAAGCAGAGTGTGTGCTATAAATAGGCTGAAGCGTGGCTAATTTAGGTTAGTTGGACAAGATGTCACTCTGAATCTGTGGCAAGTCTGAAATGCACTATTTTCAAAGAAGTGCAGTTCTGTTTCATTTCCAAATTCTTACAACCGAATACACTAAGCCAATAATATTTCATCCTATTTAACAAATATCTGTTTCTGTTTGAATATTTTACCATGTAGGGATTCTTGGACCCATGTTTTATACTTTAAAAAAAACACACAGTATAATAGTTAACACAGTAACTGTGCTATAGCAGCCTTAGGATTAATCTGAAGTGGGATTACTTTTGAGAGAAAACATTAAATGTATCTAAATACTGGTTAGAGAACTGGAACTTAAATCTTACTCCCATTTGTTAATTAACATGCCTTTAAAGAAATTAGAAGCACCTACAGGTCCTTGAATGAGTAGGGGGGGAATTAAATATAAGAACTGAGTGGAAATAGTGCTTGAAATTCATGACAGGTTGGCAAAGAGGGGAGTTACTATACCTAATAAAGCCATAAACAAGTGGGATTATCTATTAGAATGTCCGCTTATGTAGTCTAATAGAAAAAAATATATGAGTGAGTTTTGCCTAGGAAATGGAGCAGGGACAAAGCTATGCATGGGGTGCTGGATAAGAGAAAAGGGGGTAATATACTTTATTCTTTCATTCACTCATTCATTCATTCACTATAACATAAGCTCCATAAGAGCACAGCCTCTATCTCGAACAATCCTTAGAACATCATAGATCCTCAGTAAGTTCTAATTGGATTATTAAATGAATTTCAAGGAAAGGTGACTTCGTGATTATTGCAATAGTTATCCTTTGATCATTTCATTTATAAGCTCCTAGCACAGTGCCTGACATCCAGCAGGCATTTAATAATTGTTTTATTAGATGAAGGGACAGATTAATATTTCTTGAAAAAATAACTCTCATCATTCTTCTCTCTCCTCATCTTTTCAGCCAATCTCAAAAGTAGAAAAGGTAAATAGTTTTATCCACTTTTTATAGCTGGGAAGAGTGAGATTTGTTTCTGATTTACCCAAAGCCACAGAGTCATCATGAAAAAGCCAGACTTGATTACAGGTCTTCTGACCCAACAGCCTCCGCCTTTAAGTCCTATCTAGCTCTTTCCTTTCTCATGCTCTGTAGTCTGGTTTTTTCTTCAAATTTATTGCTAACAATTGCTTTGGGTCATTCATTTGATACGGCTGACACTGAGTATGAAGTAAAGAACTGAAGTCCCCTGGGGTCCACCTATGTTGTACAGAGAGGAAGCCATTAAGACTATGATCTCTCTAGTCCGTCTGCTTAGATTTGAATCTGGCTCTGCCTCTTGTTAACTGGATGGCCTTAGCTAAGTTATCTAA